CTACTCTCTACATATCTTAACCAGTATGCCCTGCTCGTGTGGGCCATGTTTATGTTACTTGGGAAAGAAAATTGTCAAAAAGGACGAAGATAAAAGTCAGATTGTGTTGGATGATTTCACCCAGTCATTGCCCACAATTTACTGTAAGTAGTCCAATAACTGACCATTACACGAGCCAGTTAACATGAAACGACATCAAACGACATCAAACGACTAAGTGATTACCATTGTCAGGCACATCTGCTTTGAGCATGCATAAAATAAATCCAATTCTTGACAGTAGATGTTTCCCTACGTCGATATGTGTTAAATTGTTACGTTTTTGTTAGCATTTAACTCAACTTAATAAGGGCCAGCAGTCTATGAAATTAAAGAATCAAATGCATATACAGCTCTATGTAGTTTGAACTTTATAGTCTTTACAACGAATCTATCACCCACGAAATGAGGCTACTATAAATGATCTTTCTTATAAACATGATAAACTAAATGCTATTATTGTTGTTGTTTAGCCGAGGAGACAATGACAATGAAGGTACACGAACTTTGCCACATTTCATTGTTTGTTAAGGCATTTGGGCCCCCTATGGGTAATTCATGCTTCCCTTACGGAAATGCGAATGACCTCATGAAGGTTGGTGCATGGTACAAGATACATTGCCTCACAGGTTTGTAGCATAGATTTGTGTATTGGGTTATTCCTTTTTATTATGATCTCAGTTGGTGGAGGGCCGATCATGGGTGAGCCATATTTATAAAATAATAGCACCATTGCTTTTTAAAATGCAGTTTTCTTTTAGAACAAACTCAGTTTCCTTCTTTTCGACTTCTTCTAAAACTAACTTGCTTGGCTTACATTACTGTCTTCACAGGAGGCAGTGGAGATGGAAAGTCAATACTGAATCGACTTTATTATATAATCAGTACACGGCATATTTCTAATCAGAAGCCACGACATGTCAGCCTCTTAATTATGTATTTAACAGATGCTGGTTTCAGGTGCAAATGAATGCAACGACCTTTGAAAGTTTACATATTTGACCCAACAATAGGTAATTGATTGAACTTGCCTTTTAGATATCCTTCACACAAGGCATAGTACGTCACAAATCAGACATTTCGAAAAACATCCAGCAGCGGTCACTGAAACCAGAAAGCTTGGCTTTTTGGAATAATAATAATAATAATAATAATAATAATAATAATGGAAGTTATATAACGTTGATACATCGCTGTTCTAAGCGCTTTACAATGTAAAAAAGGACATAAGAATATCATTAATCACAAGCTTACATATAACACTACTGTACATATTGGGAAATTTATAGCATACACATCTTAAAAAGGAAAGGAAACAAAAACAAATATGATGAAACTAAATGTCATATACCTTTTTAAAAAGAAACGTTTTCAACTTAGATTTAAAAAGATTAACATCAGAACAAGCTCGAATTTCAAAGGGGAGCTTGTTCCACAGTCGGGGGGCAGCAACGGAAAACACTTGCTGGCCAAAAGTTTTCATGTTAAAATTTGGTTCTTCAAGGCGTGAATGATCTCTTGATGACCGTAATGTCCTTGATTGATGATAAAATTTTAAAATATCTTCAAGATTAGGGGGACCGAAGTCATTCAATGTTTTAAGAGTTATTAAATTTATTTTAAAAACAATTCTCTCCTCCACAGGAAGCCAGTGAAGATCTCTTAGAGTCTCGGTGATGTGATCTCGTTTTTTGAGACTGGCTATAATTCGAGCAGGCGCATTTTCAACGGACTCCAGCTTAACTATGTCCTGTTTTTGGGCACCAAAAGAAGAGAATTACAAAAGTCCAACTTCGAGCTAACAAAACTGTTAATTAGAATTTCTATGGTACTTTTAGTGATGAATAAAATGTCTGGGAATAAAGAAAGGTATATTTGCACATTTTATAAAATGCCCTGTTGGTCTGTTGGTCAGCTCTAGACCAAGATAGCGAGGTCGAAAAAGTCAATACTAGTCTAGCCCTTAGTGTATTTAAAGGGACCATGCGGATCAAACCTATACATTTTGTACCCCGATGAAACCTTGAACACTACACTGCAAATTTCAACAGGATTCCTGGTATTACAGTCTTCATTTTGGCAAACAACTACTCATCAGGTAATCTTTCAGTTCGCTTACTTTAACTCTTGAATTTATCAATTAATTTCCAGAAGAATGGAAAGCATGCTTATCCAACCCCAAAAAATTTACAGGTCAAACGCAACTGCAGTTGAAGAAGGCATTGACGTGTTGGGTGCTGAGAGTAGAAAAAAAGTCTCTGTTCAGGAGAGTGGAACTAAACCTTTTTCTCAGCACTAGAGGTCTGGAGATGGTCCGTGAGGGTGAAGAACTATCAACGTTTTTGCGAGTCGAAAAGATGGGCAAGTCTTCCATTGAAGAGAATACACAAAGGTCACTGTGAAAAATTCCTTTACCACGAAATTTAAGAACCCTTGTGAGCATGATTGTCCTTTGTATGGCGAGGTGCTTCTGTACATATGTAGAGCAGCTTTCCTGATTGCCCTGTTGCAGCTGCTTTGCGAGTCTAGGGAGTCTACTCAGACTTCACTGAAGACACAGCCACCAGTGCAATGAGGTATTAGGTGGCCACCTAGCTATTGCGATAAAAGTTGCACTTTCATCAGACATCGTAGATGCACAGGCACCATTGAAACAAACACCTGGAACAATGAATTTATTTACTTTGGTTTGCTCTTGGCCAACCAATTTGCCGAAGTCAAATATCAGCTCACCATTAATCCTGGTGATGGCTACTCACCCTGTTTGGCTCTTGAGCCCGTTACAAAGCCAAAGAAAATTGTGTCTATAGATAGTTGGGTCCATGTGTTTGTGGGCGTTTTCATAGCCTGCTTTCCATGTGATGTTCCGGGCCTTAAGAAGTATCACTCCACCATGCAGGACCTTCCTGAAAGGGGTCACAACTGATGTTTTCCGGTTTTTGAGACAGGCCCCTGCTACTTCACTTCCATGGGGTACCATTCATTGGGAGCTTTGGCTCTGCACCCAGAACCTGGTCCTTGCAAAGAGAGCGCAAACCTCTGCAAGCACTGGAAAGCTTATGTCCAGTCTTTGTATACCTAGGGGTGTTTGTTTTACTTATCATAGGGGTGGTGACTGTATTCCTTTAGGCATGATTGTTTTAAATTTAAGGGCTCCCACCGTGCTTTAAACTGTAATTTTTGAGCCAAAATTGGTGGGATTCAATCACAAAACAGAGGTGCAGCCAAACCTCCACCCTATTCACCCTATATAGATGGTCTCTAAATTTACAAATAACTATGAACATTTTCAAGTTTTGGATTCACCTTGAAAATCAACCCCCTGACAGCATCGCTAACCTCTGCTTAAACATATCAGATAAAATGGCCGAAGAAAATAAATCAGGTCCAATGAATAAAATAAATCTTTTGAGTACAGAACTTAATATTCATAAACAATCAGTTAACTTGAAAAACCCTTCTACTTTCCTATCCAAAGCTGAGAATAATTTGTCAAAACATCTGAAAAACCACCAGCTAAATTTGATAAGAACAAATAAAAAACGAAAATTATAGCGGAGCTCCCGCGCGCGCGAAGCGGAGCACCATGGGTAAGAAAATTTGGTAAACCATCCATCCCAGAAAATTTGGTTATGACGTAGCGTACGCCCGTCCGTACACACACTTCATGTAAGCCGATGTCAAATGTCACAATAGATCTTGCACAACCTGACTAGCCTCTTAGTTTATGTAAGCCATCCGTATGAGTACGATTAGATTGACAGATGTCAAAATCAGACATCCGCTGACAATTATCACATGACGGTCTCGCGGGCTCAGATAAAAGACCAGTCGTTTTGCCCCTATATATAAGCTGATATAATATGTCACACTTACCAATTCAACATAAAAACGAAACTACGCCGGGCAAGGCTGTCGGTTGGCTGACAGTCGTTTAAAGTTACATTGGCAGGCCAAATTAAGGTCAATTGACAGCTGTCAAAATGGGACATGTGCAGACCGCTATCAGAAGACTAATAACGAGGGCTCAGGTTCGCTCAGGTACACCATCTGGCATTTTCCAGTACATGCCGGACGGAAATGTCCTACTCACACTCGTAGTCTGTTAATTCGAATATTCCCCATTCTAATCAAGGTTAATTGACAGCTCTCAAACTAGAGTATACGCTGACCATCATCACCTGAGTGGATCGCGGACTCATTTTTCTACCTATTGAGGTCACGTAGTGTTTAAAGTTTTGCGCTGTTTTATTTGATCACGGGCTCAATTCGAAGCCCCATAGCTTTATAGAAAATCTATCCATCCTAGAAAATTCGGCAATTACGTGACCGTACACCGACCACCCGACACTCTGTCCGTCCGCACCACAGGCATACCAATGTTTAATCTCACACTTTCTAGCTAGTTTGGGAGCCTGCAACCTGATATTGTACATCCATGTTTTGATTAATTGACAGCTGTCAAAACAGTGTTTCTGCTGACCAGTATCGCCTCACCGTATCGCGGGCTCAGGTATCGACCCTCTGAGTTCAAATAATATTTTGAAGGTATTCGCTGACAAGTTGCTACTTTTCAAATGATCGCAGGCTCAAGTTCAATTTTTTAAAACTGCATATGAAATAAGACGTGTTTCATGAGCCGCACTTTTAAAATCTTGATTTCGAACTGATCTCGGACACGAAAATTCAACCGGCTTTTACATTTACATGCAGGGGAGGCAATCGCTTTTGACTTTTCTCACTGTCACGCGTTGATCACGCTCTACGTCCAATTTTTATATTCTGATTGGTCAAAATTTGACAGGTGAGTTTATGCGGAAAATTTTTGCGGCGTCTGGAAACTTGCTTACTGATAGCTGGAGCTGAGAGAGTTTTGTGTCATCTTGTGATGTTTTAAACTGTCTTTTTCTACTTGGTGTACAAAATGAAATACAGCTGCTATCAAGATTGTTCTGTAATTC